TTGGTTGTGCAAGTGCAACAACAACTAACAAATGATCCAACGGCTTGCATGTTAACGTCTTCTACACGTGGGTAGATGGCATCATCAAGTTACACGTGTCGACTAGCGGTGGTAGACGACATCTATCCATAAACTGATAAACCGCTTCAACCATAAAAGAAAGTTATTTGTAGCTCCAAAATAGCCTTTACGTTTTAGTCCATAGATAGAAAAGGTCAAAATTGAAACATTGAAGAGTGGAGTGTGGTCTTGACCAAAAAAAAAAAAAAAACAAGAGTGGAGTGTGGACCCCAGGTTCCACAAACCGTTTTTTCGTCAAACCCCAACTTTAATCAACTTATTACTATTCATTCCCTTATGACACTATGGGATTGTAAAAATACAAGAAACTTAACTTTCAGTTAATCATCCAGTGGTGAATGGTATACTGATGGATCATGGACAAGTGATTCACTTTAATTATTAAATTATAAATATACCATTGAAGTTGTAAATATTTTCATTTAGTGGTATGTGTTGGGAAAATTTGATTGATCAAAACCATATTTTATCGATCATGAACTAGTAAAATGAATTCATTGAAGTTATAAAGATTTTCACAAATTTGATAAAAATACCACTGAATTTATAAATATTTCCACAAATTTGATAATTAAAGTGAATCACTAGTCCATGATCGATCAGAACACACATGTGTGCTTAATATATGAAATTTTACAACTAATCCAAGATATACAACTTCAATTGATCATTTACCACTTTTATGAGAATAATTACAATCTCAGTGGTATGTGTTGGAGAGATTTGATCGATTATGGACTAGTAATGAATCTATTGAAGTTGTAAAAATTTTTACAAATTTGATAAACATACCATTGAAGTTGTAAAGATTCCCACAAATTTGATAAATATATCATTGAAGTTGTAAATATTCCCACAAATGTTGCAATTTGTTCACTAATATTGTAATTTTACCATCAATTGACTTAATGACTGTTAGACGGTATCTCTTGTCTTATCTACCAATCGGTGTAAATAAACCATAAATTTAATAAATATACCACTAATATTATAATTTGTAATTTTTGGTATGGTACTAAAAATCCATGGAAATTTACCGTAGCCTTCTCCTATTGACATTCGTTGGTCCGACATATTAGGTTTCACAGATTTAATGACAGGACTAAAGATTAGTTTTTTTGTTTTTTTTTTTTTCAACTTACTTTGAATTTTTTAGTTCATTAATGAGTAAATTATATTTTATCGTCTTTAACTACTATCTTTGTTTTATTTTACACCCTTAACTATAAAATTTCTCACACTGTATCTTAAAACATTAATTTTATTTTATATTACTCCAATAGATAACAATAAAGTTGAAAATCTATCAAAAAAAGAGAAAAACTTCAAAGAATTTCTCGTCAAGTTCTTAGTATTATTTTATTTTATCTCTTTTACAACTAAATGATTACTGAAGAGAAAAAGAAGGTCGGCCAAAAAAATAAAATTTAAAATTTAGGAAGGATAAAGTCATAAATAAATATTTTTCTTGATTTTGGACCGACACATGTGCAATAGACAATTATTAATTGATAGGACAAACCACTCATATGCGCATTTACGTTAAAAAATTAATAGTCATTATTATTGAAATGATATAAAATAAAATTAATATTTTAAAGTATATCCTAAAATTTTTTATAATTGATAGTTCAAAGTAAAACAAAAATAATAATTCGTCAAGGATTTACCCATCAGATTTCTTTTTGAGAACTGTAACCTTTGGAAACTTTTTGAATCTCACACCCTGCCATGGTTTTGTCGTCGCCGCTGCCGAACGCCGTTAGGCCAGTACTGACCGCCATTATCACCCTGCTCCAAGAAAGAACCAGAAGAAAAAGTGTACGCGAAGAAAAATACTATTTAGACTTGATTTGAAAATTTAATTTAGAGATTTAATAATGTATAATTATTAGATTAGTTGTGGAATTTATTTAATATTAATATTTATAATTAATTAAATAATTATATTAAAATCATATTATTAAATCTCTAGATTAAATTTCTAAATAAAGTATCTTTATCGTTGCTCAAAAGAGAAATAAGATAAAAAAAACTCCTAAAGAAAAAAGAAATACAGATCTTGGTCTTTTTGTCTTTCCATGCCGTTTTATTTATTTTTCCTGTGATTTTGTTGCTCCAGAAAGAAAACTGGAACATGGTACAAGAATTTTTTGATACTCAATGGATTGGAGACCATGGACTATATAGACTTCACCGAACTGCGTTAACTTTTTTGAAGTGAATAAGGGAACTTAGAAATGTAACGAAATTTACTTACAGTCAAATGGACACAAGAAAATATATTTTTGCCTTTTTTTTTTCTTTTTTCCACTTGATTTTCTTCTATTCTCACTTTTCATTATCCATTTCTCTCTGACCAAACAGATCCTAGAGGCAACCACTCGAGACATTTTTGTGTTGTGTTAAGTGAGTTGCTATAGAATTTAATTACAAATCATACACGATTTATTTATTCAACAATTTATTTGGCACAACTTGTATCACCTCCTAATTTTACAATACAAAAAATCACAGATTAAAAGATCTAATTCTGCAACACAATAAATAATGTATTGAAGCGGATAATCATGAGATAAAAGGATAATTAAGTGACACATTTTTTATTAAACAGATAAATCGGATGATAAATTGATTAAAATACATCAACTGGAAATAACGCATTTATTAGGTAGATAGGCCATTGGTTTATCACTCTACATTTTAAAATTAATCTCAAATTTATTAATTTTTTGTTGATTTATGTTAAATAATGGGGTCGTGTTGAAATTTGTGGTGTCTATCACCAACCAACAAAGTCCAAAACCTAAATGATATTTGACGGTGTCTTCTGTGCAGCTGAATAGAGGAGAAGTATTTGGAGATTTGAGGGTCACTGGAATGTCCAGTCGGAATTATTAGGCTCTTGGTGATTGAGTTATCGATCCAATCAGATGATAGAAGATGAATGGATATGGAATTTACAATGGTTCACCAATTCGTGAGCTTTGATAGCTCACTCTATTAGAATCTCTTATTCTAGAGCATTTTTTGTTAATTAAGAAAAATGAGATTACGCGTAGTAAATATATAGATGATTACTCTATATCAAATGCGAAAGATTTGTTCCTTATTTAAAGTATAGAGTTGCCCTGCGTAATTGTCTCTTTGTGATTTNGCAAGAATTTTTGAATGCGAAGGATTTGTTCCTTATTTAAAGTATAGAGTTGCCCTGCGTAATTGTCTCTTTGTGATTTTCCTGTAACCCACGCCCCTCCTATCATAATCAACATGTTTTCCCTTGATGCTTTTGCGACTCATGTGATAGAATATTTGACGGTTACTTTTGCATTTTCTAAGTGTGATGTAATTTCCTGAAAAGTGATAGTTGTTATTGTCATCGTGTACACATGGGTTTCGTTGCTGAAGGCTGTTGACCTACGCACCCAAATTAGTGACCATGAGCTTTGAGATCCGAATTTAGATGTACGAATTGAGTGATCCGAGTTTAACCCTAATTAATTTTTGATATTATCAGTATTATTATCATCATGAAGGCAAAAAAACGGTGATGTTTATACATCAGAGGGCATATTCGTTAAAGGAGGCACACCTAGGGTCCATTTGTTTAGCGGGATTATGATAAAAAATGCAAAAAAAAGAAATTTTTTTAAATTTTTATGTGTTTGATTAGCATGAAATGGAAAATGATAGAAATTTTTTTTTCTTTCATGCTTAGATTTTTCTCACAACTAACCAATTTTTTTTTTTTGCAAAAAACACAAGGAAATGCAAGAAAGTTATGATGTATAATTAACTTCTTATTTTACCTTTATTTTTCTTAAAATATTTTCTTAATTATTAATTTTAAAAAATCTTGGTATGGATTTAGTTAATAATATAATTTGACTCAGAGATCTTCGTGGTGATGGTTGTCCGAATTAGGTTAGGAGTAACTTTTAAAAAAAAAATAACATTTAATTATAATACATATTTTTTTTCTTTAAATTGATTTAATATCATTAAGGGTAATTTAGATAATTAGAAAAATTTTCTTGTAACTTTCTTTTCTTTCTAACAATAAAATGAATTTTTTTTGAAATTTTCTCACAAGTGTTTTATGCTAACCAAATATATGCATGAAAATATTTTTATTTTATTTTATTTTTTTTCATTTTACTTTTGATTATCTTCAATTTTCACCATTATTTTCTTTCTGACCAAACGGATCCTAAGGTTGTTTTCCTGGCGAGCCCGTGCCCCAAACGTGAGGCAGTTCCAAGAGATTTACGAATCACGAGTTAACCACCACGTTCTGCGTGAAAAAGCTGAGGGCGTTTTGGGGTACTTCATTTCATCTATAGAGTACCAAGCCAAGTGCCATCCCTCAAAAGGCGACGTGGCGGAGTGTGGCCTGTATTACGATCTGAACTATGTTTACTCATAGACACGTAGCCCCTCTATCAGTAGATTACATCTTCACTGCCACGTAGGATTCCAACCTGGCACTCTGTATCTGAATCAGCAAACCTCACCACTCCCTATATAATGAAGTCCCACTGGTCTCAGCTTTAGCCATCCGAACCTCTCCCTCTCTCTCTCTCTCTTTCGCGTCTTGCGTATGTGCGTACACCTTTGACGATGCTTTTACCAGAATCGAGTCACCGGGAAATTTCAGTTTTCGACGGTATAGGAGATTTCGGCCGCTGATCTAGCCGGTNCCTCCCTCTCTCTCTCTCTCTCTCTCTCTCGTGTCTTGCGTATGTGCGTACACCTTTGACGATGCTTTTACCAGAATCGAGTCACCGGGNTCTCTCTCTCTCTCTCTTTCGCGTCTTGCGTATGTGCGTACACCTTTGACGATGCTTTTACCAGAATCGAGTCACCGGGAAATTTCAGTTTTCGACGGTATAGGAGATTTCGGCCGCTGATCTAGCCGTTGTGCAGATGATTTCACGTTTTCTGGTAGTCGCGTACTTGGCAAGCTTTAGCAAAATCTGCATACCGCAAGCGAAAGCGATCGTTTTACTTGGAGGAATTTCGTAGTTTTAGGTTTAGCTTAGCCTTCAAAGTTTGGCAGATCCATTGATTTCTTGCCAAATTCCTTGTTTTTGTGTCGATTTAGTGTTGTTGATCCGACAGCAACTGCTATGGACTTATCAATGCTAATATGAGGTTGATATATTTGTTCTGTATTGGCTGACTTTTTTNCTTTAGCTTAGCCTTCAAAGTTTGGCAGATCCATTGATTTCTTGCCAAATTCCTTGTTTTTATGTCGATTTAGTGTTGTTGATACGACAGCAACTGCTATGGACTTATCAATGCTAATATGAGGTTGATATATTTGTTCTGTATTGGCTGACTTTTTTGATCGGTGTATCAGAATATATAGTTTTCCTCGTTTAATTTTTCCGATGAAATGAAACTGAAAGGGAAGACCGGAGATAAAAGATACGTTGTCTTAGAAAGTAGAGTTTGGATTCATCATCGTTAATTGAGTGTAGTTTTGAGTTTTGGAAATTGGGTACCGCAATTGACGAGTTTAAAGGAGGAGCGTCTTTTTTTCTTTCTCTGTATCGTGATCACGCTAGTCATTCCTTTCCCGATGAAGATTCAACCAATCGACTTCAACATACCTGAAGAATCGACTCACCATGAGCAGGTAAAGCCAGTCTTAAAGTCACGGCTTAAGCGGCTTTTTGAGCGGCAATTCCAAAGTGTTCTGAGAACATCAGCGCCGGAGAAACCAGTGACCGGAAATGAAGAGCTACATTGCAACAAATATGGATCAGAAAACTTCGAGACGAACTCCATTTGCCTGGCGAAAATGGTTCAGAATTTCATCGAAGAGAGCAACGAAAAACAATCCGCTGCTGTGAGGTGTGGTCCGAAACGATCCAATTGCTTCAACAGGAACAATACGGATAGTTCAGACGACGAATTTGACTCATTTGATTGTTTCGGTGACTCGAACCACACCTTCAATAGTGATGCTTGTGAAATTCTCAAGGTATATTCATAGTTCAATTTTGTTTTATATTCTTTTTTTTTCAAGGCTTTTTGCACTGTTCTCTGATTTTCTTTGTAAAATAAATTTCTTTCCTCGGCAGAGTTTGGTGTGTTGTGGTAGTGATTCCGAAAGAACTCTGTTGCTGAAAACTGCGAAAATCGTTGAGAAAAACAAGATCGGTAAGCGTAAAGACGATTTTTGCAGAAACATCGTCACTGACGGTCTATTAGCTTTGGGTTACGACGCTTCCATCTGCAAATCCCGATGGGATAAATCCCCCTCATATCCCGCCGGTAGTCTCTCTTTCTCTGCAACGAATTTCCGCCTCTCTTTCCGAGATAATTACAATAAAACATGTATAAAGGTAATTTTTCTTAGAAATTCGAAATTATTCTGGTTCAGGGGCATATGACTACATCGATGTAATTAAAGACGGCGAGAGGTTGATCGTGGACATTGATTTCAGATCAGAGTTCGAAATTGCACGACCAACCAAAGCCTACAAAGCCATCCTGCAGATACTGCCTCAGATTTTCGTCGGCAAAGCTGATCGTCTCCAGAGGATCATATGTGTGGTATCCGAGGCAGCGAAACAGAGCCTGCTGAAGAAGGGAATGCATGTCCCTCCATGGAGAAAAGCTGAGTATGTCAAAGCCAAATGGCTCTCTCCTTGCACTCGAACCACACCAACAGTTGCTCTTGCACCGACATCTGAGAACATTCCCCACGAAACTGACCTCAAATTCCAAAATCAAGAGACTTTGCTGCGAAAGAAAAGCTCCGTGGGCGAGTTGGAGCTGATCTTCGGAGAGAAAATCTCTCCGGCTGAGACTGAAACTGTTGATGCTGTTTTTACGTTGTCCAATAGTTCCGTTGAAGAAGAGATTCCGGTGGCTAAACAATGGGAGCCGCCGGAGATCAAACCGAAGGCTTCACAAACTGGAGTCAAGATCGTTGCTGGTTTAACTTCTGTCATTGAAGACAAGACATAAATTTTGATTTTGTTTTACTTTGTGTTTTTGGTTTTCTGGTGTTTTTGGTTCCAGAAAGTCAAATACCGTCGCCGGTACCAACCTTTTTATTGGTTGATCATCATCCCCTTCTCGTTTTTGTTGTAAGGGTTATATAAAATCCACTAACATAGTCAATAATATTGTTGCAAGTAGCTTTATTATATACATAACAATTGTCATTATTGATCAGTAAAAGTGTAAGATTTCGTTGGCCTTGTGATCAATATGTTGTTCTGGGTAAAACGGATAGATTTCATTACATGGTAAATCCTGTCTTGAGAGCTATGTTCTGTTCTTCAGGAGGTGGGAAGATTTGATGATTAGTCAAAGAGAAACTATCTCGTGTTGTCTCCGATACACTGTGATCTAGAATTCTTCGTTGATCTGGTCGAAGCAAGTCCCAGCGGTGATGAAAACAAATTTATGAAAGAACAAATGACTGACATATCAGTTTCTGGAGAACCCAGGAAACTGGATGTGCAGTGGTAAAAGGTTCATAGCAAATCTGATTGCTAGGTAGCGACTTAGTCGAATGTTATGGGTGCTAGAAATTTTGGTGCTGGCAATCCTCTCTAAACTTTTTTTATTTTTATTTTGAACTTGTGAAATATAGGAGGCGGAGGCACAGGCACAGGCACGCATAATAATAAAGGCACGCATAATAATAAATTGAGCAATGTTATGTTAATTAAATCTTAAATTAATGCACATGATTAGATTAGTGGTGTCTCATAAGTCCATTAAATATTCGACGTATAAAATTTTAATATATCACATCACGTTATATATAAAATTTAATAAACAAATTTGCATAGCTTTATCCTAATAAATTTGTCATGTACTTGTTGTTTTCACATTACGCCACTGGCTGTGACTATGGGCCTTGTCCTGAATCCGGACCCACCAGAGTATGAGTATTTTTTGGGAATTGAAATTTAGGAAAAATTTTAAACTACCTAGAGTTTTGTGTATTTTTTGTCGCGGCGTAATGATCGCCTCTAGATTTTTGATTTAAACTTAAAGTTAATGAGATTCCATCAAAATAAATCTATGTTTAAATCGAATTCAGATTTTTTTAAAAAAAATATTTTTTGGCATATTGTCCAATACTAACGAGAGAGAGAGAGAGAGGGATGTATCTGTATATAATGTTTTACATGATATATAGTAGATATTACTTAGTTTTATTTGTAATTATTAATCTCGTTAAAAATAAAATATAAAGTATATAAAAATTATTCCTTAATATCATAATTATACCCTAAACTAAGCAGTATCCGATAAGTGAAAGAGACAAATATGAAATGGTTTCGTGGGGTCAACTTTGCTCCAGTGTAGCAGAAGTCAGGAGGAACGCAAGTCCTGGTTAAAAATTTATGTCCCACCTACTCTCTCTCTCTCTCATCTTGTTCACTTGTCCACGGAACCGTCGGTTGCTTGTGAAATGCATTTGGCATCTCTTTCAATTTAATGAATATTACCGTTTTTTTTTCAATATCTGGTTGTGGAAATGTGATCACTACGGCTTCTATTCTTTACAGTTTTCGTCTATGCACTTTATACTGGTTCCATTCTTTGATCTTCTAGAATTTGAACTATTTTCAATGAAAAGCCAAAGTTTTAGACTAAATATTGAGTGTATTAGTTTGCTGGTAATTATTAAAATAACGGAGCTCATTAAGTCTATTCATTATTTTATTACTGATCGATGATATTAATGACGTGATATCACCGTTAAACTTAATATTTTCTCAAAGTGTAAGAGGTGTTGGAAAGTTTTACTAACACTTGAAAGTCTATTCTATATTTTTTTGAATTAAACGTGTGTTATAGTCAAAACTCGCACTGCTTGAATAAAAAATATCCAGTAGAAAACGATAATTTACCAGTAATCTATTCAACGCCACAACTATTCAACACCTGCCACCGGTTGCCTACAACCGCAATTAACTGCCGCCTCACAAATCCTACTATCGTCGCCACTGCCCTGCTAGTGTTGATGGTAACGAAGTTGGTGCTGGTAGAAGTGTTGGTGGTGGCAGGAGCATAGTCGGGGAACAAGTTGGGTGTGTCAGGCTATATATGGAAGTAATGGGTGACAAGTGTGAACGTGTGTGTCATCTTTTGACAATTGGTTATATCAAAAGAAACGAACGTATAACGAAAACAACCTGTTGACAAGGCTACAAATTTTTGAACCACACAAAAACCCACAAGGGAACATGTGCTAGAATGTAAAAGGGAAGAAAAGAAGGAGAAGTAAGAGCATTCCAGTGGCTCGAGAGAAAGAACAGAATATAAAACTCTAAAAGAGAAACAGAAAGAAAAGCATGTTTAATAAGTGTGCGAGTAAGCTTATAACTAAGAATGTCTAATGTGTGCTGAAAATCGAATGGCTGCAGAACGATACTTTCTCCATCCAATTACTGCCATAAATTACAAGAAAAGAAGATGTAACAAACAAGTGAATAAACTGTCCTACCACAAGAATATTTATTTTATTGGGGCAATAGTTTTGAAAAGATAAATTGCCTCTTTTTTTTTTTTCTTAGGAGAAATACAATTAGTAGGAGCTAATTCAAATCCCTCCGGTAAAATAAGAACAATCCCTACATTTAAAGCCCCTTTTTTTACTGCATTCAGAACCTTTGGGTATGAATCTGACTTCTTATATGAAGACAAGATGATCAACTCTTGAATCCGTATCTAACTCCAAATATGTAGGACTTGGATAAAAAATTTTAAATTTGGATAGAACATCTTAATAAGATTTAAATCTCAGATGATATTTGATTTTGATTCTCGGGTTTTAGAAACCAATTCATATTGGTGATTTCAAATTCAACCACGAGATTTTTACTACTCAAGAATTAAACCCAAGTTGTCTTGATTTCAACCCAAGAATTGATCCTAATAAATGATTCCAAGTTTCCACCCGAGTCATGTAACATGTGCTCAAGAAATCAAGCATGAGGAATACTTAGATTAAATTTTGAATGAATTTATGATTAATTTTGTGTTCGAATTAACCTTTTAACTTGTTCAACCCGTCGTAGTTCCTTTTTGGCTGGGTTTCACGTTGGACCACAGACATGAGTTAATATTGGGGGTAACTACTATCCAATAAAAAAAAGGACAAAAATGATAAAAATATGGCCCACTTCCTATTATATATAGAGTTGGTTATGTATTACATGGTCGGATAATTATGAGTTTTAGTGGGGTCTATTTATTGAATTGTTTATGTTTATTTATTAGCGGACCGTTAAATCACGTGACATTATTATCATGGCATGGCGTAACAGTTACACCAATATTCTTTCCATAGACATTAGTGATGAGAGAGTGAAGACCATCACATAGGGGTCAATGCCAGGAGGTTGAGGACTAGTCCATGGCTTATTTTGCACGTTTCATGTACAATTTTCTTGCATTATGCACCAATGTATGAGGGTAGAGAGTGAGGTGCATTCTCTTCTCTCTTTTTTTCTTGAACAGTTCCATTTATTTTATTCAATGCTATATTACTTAATTACCGTGTATTGATAAAAGACTTATTTATATACAGTGAATTGTACTTAGATTTTCAATGACGATGTATTATTAATTTTTTTTTTTTATTAATCTACATTAGAGAAGAGTTAGATCCTTAAACATCTGAAGATGAGAGGGAGATGCCTCCTCAACTACATGAGGAGGAATGAAGATAGTAGCAATCATAACATTTGAAAACGGATTAAGATTGTTGTCTTTGTTTGGCAAAAGTAGGTACGAGTCCCTGTTTTCTGAAACCAGCTCTTTACCTGACCTCACCCAACAAGTAACTTGACTTCTAACAAATAACATGGCCAAAGCAATAAAGCAGAAAAGGCCAAAGCAATAAAGCAGAAAAAGCCAAAGCAAATAAAACAAAGTTGGACAAAGCTTAACAGAGAATTTGCTGTGACACTGCCTTTATGCACTCACAATAACTAAGTGTTTCACAGGCATGGAATCCCTACCAAAAGTTAAAAAATTAGAAAAAAAAAAAACATTATATATAATAATTGAGACAACATATGACATAAATATAGATAGACTGGATGATGTGGGTTAATAAATTTTAAGGCAACACGACACTAGTCATTGACAGATCTAAGGCCAGTTCTCATAGAATTGGGAACGAAATTGATGAAATTAAAATTTTAAGGACTAAAGTGCAAAGAACGACAAACTTTAGGGATTATTAATAATGCAATTTACCCAACGAAAAAACATGGTAAACAACAATGTTTGGCATAAAAAATAATACTATATGAACCTTATTTAGTAATTTTATTGGTGATTTTATATCATTTTCTACTATTAAACGCCAAACACACCGGTTTTCTAGACTTAATTTGATAAAATTCAAGGAATGGCGTAAGCTGGAGAACAGCCCAGCCCAGTCCAGTCCAAAGACTATTCCAAAAAATTGAGAATGGACTAGGCCTAAAATGAAGCAAGAAACTCTTGACNTCCAAACACTATTCCAAAAAATTGAGAATGGACTAGGCCTAAAATGAAGCAAGAAACTCTTGACCCAGGACCGCTGATTCCCAGGTTCATCTGATCCTCATGCTAAGCCTCTCTATCTTTGCATGAAACGACAGCGGCATTCTCAAAACGACATCGTCCACTCTGAGCAATCAAAAATAACTGGATAAAACGCCAATTAGGCTTGAAGCCCATTCGAGTGCCAAATTCTTTCATTATTCCTTTATCTATTTTGGCCCAATTGTTTTTGCGATTTTTGTTTCAATAATAGTTACTATCAATAGGTTTTGAACTCTTACCACCCTGCTCCTAAACTAAGAGGAAAACAATGAAAATGGGCATTGAAAGTTCACTGATTCTTTCATTATTTTCAAAATAATAATTAAAAAAAAAATTGAGATGCGCATAAGCTGGCCTAAATATTCTTTACTACAATACAAAAAAACAAAGAAAAAAATTCCCAAGATAAAAATAATTGGTAACATCCAAGTAAAGGGGGATTTATTTACCAAAATCATTCACTTTTTAGTGTTGTTGGGCTTGATGATTACTCTTGAACCAAAATTGTCTGCTTATAACTAATGGGCCAACATAAGCCCAGTGCTTTGTGCAACTTATTACCTAAGTAAATTTTAACAAAAATATATTATTTAGACCTAATTAACTCATATAATACATTATGGTGATTGAATTGATAATAAATCCCAACACACGCTAAAATTTATCGTCAACCCCATAGGAATAGGCTAAATTATCATCGTTCCTATTGATAGACCATAAGATCGCGAATTCAAATTTGGTCATCCTATAACGGTGCTCGAAAAAAAAAATATATTGTGACTGAATCTTCCTTAAGGGACTTATAATGAGTTTAGTCCATCAATAAAATTTATTTGAGAATAAGTTCGCTTTTAATCTTATTAATAAAANTATATTGTGACTGAATCTTCTTTAAGGGACTTATAATGAGTTTAGTCCATCAATAAAATTTATTTGAGAATAAGTTCGCTTTTAATCTTATTAATAAAAAGTTAAGTCCACTATTTTTTAAAAACTTTAAAATACCCTTCATTAAAAGTATGCCAATTAATTTGTTTACATAAATTTGAAATTCAAATTTAAAGGACAATTGATACTCTCTATCTTTCTCTCTCTCTCTATATATATATGTTTTCTTTCTTTTTTACCATGTTGTTGTTCGTGTTACTATTTTTGTGAACATGTTACTATTTTTTGTGGACATATTACTATTCATGTTACTGTTTTGTTGATTATGTTACTAATATTATTTTCTCAAATATTAATATTTAATGTTATTATTTTTTTGTGTTTAAATGTTGCCATTTTTTTGTGTGTTTAAATTGTATTATTTTTTTTGTCTGAATAGTACTATTTGTGTTTAAATGTTACTATTTTTTTAATATTATTATATGTATGTGTGTGTGTATATAAATATATATAAGCGATAAATAAATAGTTATATAGAAAGATATGAGACATAATTTTTTTTTTAATGTTCGTCAAAATCCAAAAATTTAGGAGTTATTAGTTTTTAAATTTGTTTTAATTAAACATAACTCTTAGGAGTATTTTAGACAATAGAGATCAAAATAGACTTAATATTAAATAAATTTTTTTCATGGACTTATCACCAAATAAATTCACAACAGAACCGACCTCCAAATTTTATTAAAAAAAAAAAAAGCATTCAACGAATGACATTTTTTTTTATTTTGTTGAGAAAAAAAAAGAACGGCATTTTTTTTTCCAGATAGTGTATCCAATTATGATAGATTTCCCAAACTACCCTTTATTTCTCATAACACCACCCGTGCACATCGTATATAGCACACTCATCCCAACATTTCCTCTCTGCAGATCAAGAGAGAGATCCCAAACGGTCCGAGTTCCAAAGACGGGCTTGCTTCGTCTTCAACGGCGATAAATTTTCAGCAGCGTGAGTACTTCAGAGAGCTTGTGTACCTTCGGTAAGTGTCTCCTAGTGCCTTATACAACACATACAAACCTGTTATTTGAAGGAAAATTAGTGTAATCAGAACAATTTGTTTTGAAGAATTAGGGTCTCTTACTGTGAATCATTGTACTGAATAATCTTTGCTCCTACCGAGTAAATTCTATGGGTACCTCGCTAAATTACCTCATTTTAATGATTCAGTACCGTTATTTTTCGCTCCCAACAATAATGCGTAAACATTGTTGCGGTGGCTTGCCTTTAATCTAAACCTAATCCACGTATATTCTTAAACACAGATTGATGTGTAAGTCAGTTATTGGAATCTTTGGAACTCTTTTTTGCTGTTCATGGTCCTTCAGATGGTTGGGATGATATGTGATCTGATTTCTTGGTCTCCAAACTACATTTGAAAAGAAAAAGAACAAGGAAAGAATGCAATTACCTCTTCGTATGCAATGTTGATGTATTACATTACCTTGATGACACTGGGTAGCATGGGGCTGGGTTCTTTTATTATAAACTTTTTCTTTTATTTTCGTTGCAAGTGTGGAGAGATAGTTTTGCTTTTGCAATTCTGTTGTACTACACGTGGGGTGGCATGTTTATATGACTGTGCAGTAGAATACATTTTAAGCAGCTGGGCAATNAGTTTTGCTTTTGCAATTCTGTTGTACTACACATGGGGTGGCATGTTTATATGACTGTGCAGTAGAATACATTTTAAGCAGCTGGGCAATGAGCAAAATGTGTCTTTTAACTGTGGTAATAATAAATAAAGGGAATTTATGTGTATGGTAATCTCATGGATAAATGCATATCACCTACTAAAATTTATTCATCATATTGTAAATCACGAGCTCTGCTCCTAAATTTGGGATGTTGAGTTTGATAGGGAGAGCCAGACAAGAGTTGGGGCGCTTACTCACTAGTGGCATAACCTGTGTCACCAACTTAAATTTGGTCCATTGAAAGTTTGGGCTGAAGAAACGCATGTTGGATTGGGTCGTACTAGCGGTCAATTATTTTTGTTGGGGTTAACGAGCCAATAAATTTTTGGTAACATCATGTGATGCACCCTGCTGTTAATAGCAACTAAATGTATGTGAAGCCAATAAATTTTGTAGAAAATGGAATGCGTCCTGATCCTAAGACTTGAAGTCTTTGTCAAAAAATAGCCTTAATCTGCATTGCTCTGTAGAGGATTGATAACACTTGTTTCCATCTATTTTTGAATGTGGCGCCTCTTACTCTTATCAGGCAGTTTACTTGGAAATCGAATGTTGCAATGCCATTTTTTTTTCTTCCTTGTTAAGTCATATCTAGTAGGTCATATCTGGTACTGCCAAGAGTATGCCGGCTTCCTTCTTGGGCGTGCCTAGCTCTTTGATAGTTGTTCTATTTAATGTCTGACAGTCAGCAATGTTTTCCTTTTTTAGGTGTTTTATCTGTGTTGAATGGCCAATAGAGTCCAAATCCGTACAAGCAGCTCAGCACTCATTGCTATGATTGCTGATGAGGTGAGGTTATAATAGTTATCATACATGCTTCGATAATGATTGTCTGGTAAAAGTCAACCTGGACCACAGGACTGGTGATGCATTTCTGTAGACACTCGTAATGAATTTTTATGGGTATGTCATATTTTTTTATTATTATTATATATTCTTTTTAATTTGTTTTTTTTTTTTTTTGGGGGGGGGGGGTTGGTTTTGAGTTATTTTTTGTAAATGAGCAAGGGTTGGTTCATTCTCTATCTTTTATATTTACGCATTACAGGTTTTATAACCAAGGGGCTTAATTATAATAATACTGGTCATTGTAGGATTTATGTCAAGTGTGGAAATTGTGCCAGTTGTTTTTGTCAAACTATGAGCATGATCAAATATTAAACTGGTTCTAAAGTATCTGATATCAGAAGAGGATTTTTGTTCTTTGTTTTTGGTTCATTGTTTATTTGTGTACATTGTAAAGTATGCAAAATATGTGTGTGAGAGAGATAGAAAGCAAGAGTTTATGCTTGCTGCAGAGTTTTGAGGGAAGTGTGGGCCTGCCATGTGGAATAAGCAGGTGTTGGGGCAGGAGCAAGACCCTGAATATGAGTTTTTGGATCTTTGGGTCCTAAGTGAGCCTGCTTTTACTTTGTCACTATATATCCCTGACCTAACTCTTGTTGCCCTGCCTGCCTTTGGTTCAGCCTGTCCCTGCATATAATATGCTAATAATTACCTGTATGTCAACCACCACAAATTTGAGCTTGGAAGACATGGTTGTATGTAAGAAAGGTAGCACAGTTCTATATTTGATCACAGATCTGAATGAGTATTGAATCATGAAAGTACTACTATGGTTTATCTTTGCTCTGAACCCAACCACCATCCTCGCTTCCAGGGCCCACTACTATGGCTCTCTCATCCCCACTATGTTTGAGATGCATCATGGAGCGATGAGCCTGAAAAGCTGAGCTACATTCAGTTGGCATCGTATATTTTTCCATATCATCATTGGCTGATTGCATCTTGGCCAAGCTAGGTAGTCATCTTCATCTTTTGGCTTGAACTTAACTGAAGGAAGCAGCCCCTGCGAACTCCATGCCCGCAGCCACAGTAACCATTGTTTAGTATGATTAATATTGTAGAAAAAAGAACATGTTACTTCAAGTAGTATGAACATGCAAACCATCTCTTTCCACTCTTTATTAATGTGTAAAGTAATTAGGTTTCACAGTGGGTCATGTGCAGCCGATTTGTTTATTTCCTCTATTTGGAGTTTACTGGTGGATCTGAACGGAATTTCAATACAATATAGATTATGTGGCTTCGTAGATGGTTTAAAGTAATGTATAGATAATGTGGCTTCATAGATGGTTTAAAGTTATGTATAGATAATGTGGCGTCGTAGATGGTTTAAAGTAATGTGAGATATTTTGCATGTTCCTTATGCAGCTCCGTTCTACATATTTGGGTGGGCCATTACTGGTTATTAATCGATTATGCAGTTTATGAGACATTAAGTTACCTTATGCTCAATACTATTGGAGTTTATCTGATGAATAACTTATCTCATGTAGGACAGTAACTGGATTTTTAATGGCTGAAGTTGGCAATGTTGACTTGAGGAGGAAGACGAATTACCTTATTGTGGACTCAAGTATGATTGAGGCTTGAATTCTCTTAAACATCTCGTGTGGAAGCATGACTATATGGAACTTCTGTGGTTAGATAGGCGGCCTTCATATTATAAAAATTCTTGGAAACGAAGGGATATAAACAAAACATAGGATATGGGAATAGAAGAGAAGGATGTATCCAGTCAGTTATGGAGAAGAATTTCCGTGGTAGCTGTTTTTTTTCCCGATTCTGCTTGGGTTGCAACTTATTTCCCAGATGGGAGCATGCTCAATGGTGAGGTCACCGGATGTGTAATAATCTGGTGATTTTTACTTCTTTTATTTGGTTTCACGCCATGCTTTTTGGTACACCAATCAATCCTACGAGTGGAATTATATGTACATTATTTAAGGTCTCCTTACATCAGATATACTTGATGATTCATAAGTCCTACTAAAGCAATACCATTATTGCATTGAATTAGTTTAGGTACAGAGAGTAGTTGCAACCTGTCCTCTTCTTGATGATGTTTATAAGCCATTGCTGCTCCCCATTTATTTTCAATGTTGTGGCTTCTGCACTCCTTTCAAAACATACTGTTATAATTTTTTTTGAACTGTATACTGTTATAAAATAAACAGCAAAAATTCAATTAGTAATTCAATATTAGCTTGTGCTTGATATTATTTTTGGGAAGAGGAGTGACTGCTGCAGGAAATTGCAATTTTTGTTCTTTATGTCTCGTGGTAAAATGAAAGATGCCCCCTGCTTCCTCTCTCCCTCCCCCCCCCCCCCCCCCCACAAAACA